ACAACTCTGGCCAAGAGTGTTAGGAAGGTTAGAGATGGTAAAACACTTTCTGAATCACAAAGCAATATGTCTTTCTCGTGATTACAGAACCGATTCAGAGCTCCTCTCTAAAGCACGTGCCTATACACAAAAGCTACCTGTACAAAAGCTAATTCAGTCAGAGGTTTGATTTCTACCCCCCTCGCATTTGTAAACTTGACAGGATTTAAAAAAAAATAAATAAATAGATGTGGCCTTCCTAGAGTTTTTCCTCTAAAAGTGATTGCACTATGTAAAACACACTGTACTTTGCCCAGCGCGGGCCTTTCTTGTGCTGCTGCAATGCTTTGTATACCGGGAGTGCAGGGCGCAGACTTGACTCCAGCACTCACGTCCTGACCTACAAGCTGTTGCTTAAATGGATGTATATTGAGAAAAATTTTCTAATGTTGCAAGATCTCCATCAAATTCACTGCAATCTGTACTGTCCGAGTATGTGAATGGCCTGACTGAAAGAAAACCCTCCTGCTTACCAAAAAGGTGAAATTAAATAAAAGCTGCATGACCTGTTCTTCAGAGTGACTGGTAGTGCTTTTTTTTGCCCACTGCGAGTACTTCCCAGTGTTCTTGTGTTCCGAATTCAGAGTGCCCCTTTGTGATCTGCTCTGTGCTGAGCTGCCTGCTGTCTGGCTGCTTGTCTGTCAGCTGTTCAGGCTGGAGGTGTCTCTGTTTTGTTAAATGACAGCATCCAGTTAGGAGCGACATCATACACATGTATATAATTATATTCTGTGTGTGTATTATATATATACACATATGTATGGAAGATGAGGCCATGAGATGTAAAATTTATTTAAATAATATTAAAGAGTTTAACATTTCCAGACTATTCCAGACATGGACATCCCCCCTGCTACAAACCAGCCCAAATTAAATTTACTTTTCTAAATGGTATTCTGAAAGGAAGAAGGGGAAAAGAAAAATCAACTAGGCAGAGGAGAGCTAGCAGATGATAGATACAAACTTTATGGATGTTGGCTACCACCTGCCTGAAGCATCATTGGGCAAGACAAACATCAGACCATAGGCCCCCAGAACAGAGCCTTGCCACTGCTCGTGGTGGGTCCACATCCCGCTCCCATGCTTCCGCTTGCTGTGGTGAGCAGAGGCCGTCTCTGTGGCACCAGGACCAAAGCGGGGTTTCTGCCAGCTGCACAGACACGTTATTTCTGGCCAGTGAAGGCAGCAGGATAACGTTATTTGAGTTCATTGGTAGGGAAATGGAGGAAAAGAAAATGACACATCAGGATGTCTCAATTTGATTGTGACCATCCATGTCTAAAAACATGCAGATTTTTTTCTTACCTCTAACATTTAGAGTATGGAATTAAATAATCAAACGTTGAGAGATACAGCAGGAGGTTCAAAACGGAGAAAGTGTTTAATTCTGAGTAGGCAATGTTCAATGAAAAGCAGCAAGGAAGGAAAGCACATAGAGAATCAGCTTGTGCAGTTGAATATATTTATTGATAGAAAATTGCAAAAATCGTAAAAACAATTTGGGAGTCAAAATTGATGATTGCTTAAGAACAAATTATAGTAGCTTATTAGCATGCTGCTTTTCTCTGGTATTCAACAAGGGGAGATGAAGACCATGTTTACACTTTGCAACGAGTTTTCTGAATGCTGTAAACACTGCAAGTGGCGTACGGTTTTCCTCATCCAAAGGCTCCCCCTCCTCCTGCGCAGCTTGCAGACCTGCAGTTCGTGTACGTTTAATGCCTACATGCTTAGGGAGGGATGACAGCAATTCCGGGACACCAAGAGGAATAAATGCGGCCAGGCAACAGCCTCCTCTGAATTTAAATTCTTAGTGAGGTGCGGATGCGAACTAAAAGCTAAGAAAGGAAGGCGTGTTTCAACACATTTGATGAGAGAGTTAAACAATTAGAGAGTTTCTTCCTGGCCTAGCTGTAGACTGGGAACAAAGAACATTTAAGAAGCTGCTATTTTTTCTGCTGTCTTTTTTCTGCTTTGAAACTGATCGTATCTTGCAACAGTGGACACCCCATCCAGAAACTTGGTCTTGTAGAGGACATTCGCGTTGTTAAACATTCCATCCTTCAAGGACACCACAACAAACTAGAACAAACCAGAAAGCTTACAGTAAATGCTGCCATCCAAATAAAGACTTCAAACAACATTGGAAAAGGCTTCTAAAAAGAGGATTCCTTTTACTTTATTTGGCTAATACCCTGGTGGTAATTCTCGAAAAAATATCCTAAGTGTAACTGGAGCCCAGAAGAAGGTGCTAGGCAGGTTAACACACACCCACAGGCCAGACATTTTCTGCAGCTAACGATGCACGGCTGCGGCCGTATCCCAGCACATGGCCTGGATACACAGGCCACAATACAGGAAGCCTGTTCATGGTGCATCAATCACTGGAAAAAATGTTGCCACAAATTCTGTAAGAATGCAGGATCTTTCACAGCCTGAAAATATTGCTCAAACTATTTTACAATACTGGTAAAAAATATTCCCCTCCTCTCTCTCATAATTTGGAAAGGTCATGTCCTACCCCCACATACGGACAGGTACTGCCTTTCATTCCACATACAAAGTTTCTTCAGTTATACGTATTTCTTTCAAGCACAGGCCACAGTGATACAGAGATTCTTTCCACTTGTGTCTGGCTTATTTCAACAAGGTTAAAAGCAAAATATTTTTAAAGCTCAGGGTAAAGAATTCTAGCCAAAAAAAAAAAAAAAAAAATTCAGGATGTGGGTCACGTGTAAAACTAATCATATCACAGATACTCTTCCCTATTACTACCGGGTTTTAGACACTGCAGCAATGGTCACATTAAAACGTCATACTTAGAAGTTTCAATTGCCCTATCGTTAGTGTAACTTCCAGTTGAAACAACTTGGAAATATAACACACATCTCTGGAATAAAATACTTGAACAGCTGAGACTTCTCAGTGGCAGGCTGCCTCTGAAAATAATGGAGTGCATAAGCAGATGATCACAATAGTGTCAAGGTCATACCTGGGAGTGTCTGAAATGAGTACGAAGCATCTGCCCAATATTCTGGGTATGAGAGAGATCAAGGGCTGCATCCACTTCATCCAAGATGTAAATTGGGGCAGGTTTGAAGAGAAGCATGGCTAAGATCAAGGACAAGGCCACCAGTGATCTAATACAGTGGAGTGCATAAGCAGATGATCACAATAGTGTCAAGGTCATACCTGGGAGTGTCTGAAATGAGTACGAAGCATCTGCCCAATATTCTGGGTATGAGAGAGATCAAGGGCTGCATCCACTTCATCCAAGATGTAAATTGGGGCAGGTTTGAAGAGAAGCATGGCTAAGATCAAGGACAAGGCCACCAGTGATCTAATACAGAGAACAAAAATGTTACATTTTACACTCTTATTTGAGAGGCTTTGGCTTATGAGAACAATTGCTTGGTAGTCACGAAATACGCTCTCAAGAGCAGGTTCATGCTCTGAGTTCTGAAGAGACAGAACGACAGCTTCTGCCACAACTTCTGATTTCAAAACGTGAAACCTTCTGCCAGAAATGGCAAATGTTACTTTTTTTTTTATAAGAAGATCAGGTTAGTTAGGTGATGATATTTAAAATCATGCTGTTGCTTTACCTATTTTCAATTCTGAATTCAATTCCTGGGATGTATCAAGAGAAGCGTGGTCAGCAGGTCAAGAGAGGTGATTCTCCCCCTCTACTCTGCTCTTGTGAGACCCCACCTCGAATACTGCGTCCAGTTCTGGTGTCCCCACCATAAGAGAGACATAGATCTGTTGGAGCGTGTTGAGGAGGGCCACAAAGATGATCCAGGGGCTGGAGCACCTCTGCTACGAGGACAGGTTGCGGGAGCTGGGATTGTTCAGCCTTGAAAAGAGAAGACTTCGGGGGGACCTAATAGCTGCCTTCCAATACCTGAAGGGAATTTACAGGAAGGCTCGGGGGGGACTTTTTACAAGAGTGTCCACTGATAGGACAAGGGGAAATGGGTTTAAGTTGAAGGAGAACAGATTTAGATTAGATTTTAGGAAGAAATTCTTCAGTACGAGGGTGGTAAGACTTTGGAATAAATTGCCCAGAGAAGTTGTGGATGCCCCCTCTCTGGAGGTTCAAGGCCAGGTTGGACGGAGCCTTGAGTAGCCTGGTCTAGTTGAGAGGCGTCTCTGCCCATGACAGGGAGGTTGGATTAGATGATCTCTGAGGTCCCTTCCAGCCTATGCCATTCTAAGATGAATTTTTGCAGTGCTGTTTTTCCAGTGTCGTTCAGAAAGGTCTGTATCTGTCTCACCTTTTCCTAGATTCTGTTTCTACTTTACCATTTGTTAGATTTTTCCTTAGAAGTTGCAAAGAAGCATATACCCTACACAGGAGCTGTAATCCACCAGAGGAGAAAACTGTCACCATCACATTACTTTGACACTGGGGCAGAACTTGTCTATGTAGATTTTGAGATTACAACTAAAGGCTGAAGCATTTAATTCAACAGTACCTCAGTACTACCTGGAGTTAACTGTAGTTTTCTCACCACTCAATTCATTTTTTTGTCACTTCTCCATGGACTAAAATTTTGTTTGTTATCATATGCCAAGTAATGCATTGTTCTAAGTCAGATTCCTCTTTGAGTTGAACTGAATTAATAATGCTGTCAATATTAAGTCAGGTTGGAAGGAGACAGAGTCCCCGACTTGACTAGAGAAAAGATTCATTTTTTGCTTTTCTGAACTATAATTAGCGAGACATACCAATTACATACATAACTGCAATGGAAAACAAAACAGAAAAAACACCAGAGAGTTCACTAACCTTTGTCCTCCACTAAGCTCAGTTAAGTCTTCCTTCCAGGTGTTTCCTAAGGCAACTCTTAACTCCAGACCATCCAGGATATTCTGGGGTTTGGAGGCTGCTAGCATAGCATTGGCTCCTGGTAGAAGCATTGAGAAGATTGAACCCAAGTCTTCATTCACCTAGGGGTCAGACCATAAAAGATGCATGTTTGTGCTTTGAATCAAGAGTACAAACAGCTAAAAACATAGCGGTAAGCTGCACTATGCTGTGGACATCTTGTCCAATTTAACCCAGTGACTTCTTATGTCTTGAAGATTAGCACATACAGCATAGTGAGAAAATATTAGCACATGGAATCTTTTATTATCCCTGTACGGAAAAGAGAAGCAACACGGGGTGGGGGGCGGTGGGGTGGGGGAGTAGGGTGTACGTGAGAGAGAGAGAGAAGACACTTTATACTAAGCATTTTAGAAGGATCAAGTGAAAGAAATATTGGAAGGTTTCTTTACCCTATCAGCCAGGGAAATGGTTATGCCCCACCTCAGATTTATTAACTGGTAAATTGCGATTTCTCTCAATCAAAGGACTATTAAAAGTATAAGCACCTTTATAAGTATAAGCACTTTAAAAGAGGCACACACTGGCATCCTCCCCACTCCTTTTCTTCCCAGAAAGCAAGTAAGCAATCTTAAGCAATGTTCATCTATGTTCACAAAGCTGGACATTTCCTAGCTCAAGGAACGTGCACTTATTCCACTACCCATGATGCTTTTACATACAATTCACTAATTTTTGCCAAACAAGACTTTGCAATGAAAAGATACCATTTTGTCAGTGATACCTTGAGTACGGACAGTAATAATGAAAACCGATACTTCAATTGTGGGCGATTTAATCTTAGATATAATCGATCTTCTCAAAGGCCAAAAAGTACAAGTTCTCCTGGTACAGGAGAAAATAATGTGTCAAGAGGCTTCCACGTAGAAAGGGAAAAATTTTATGCTCTTGATACAGCTCATGATATGAGAGAACGAGTAAGAAGGCAGAGTGCTTAGATAAAAGAAACATAATCAGCTGTTGCTGTATTCCAGTATCACCTGTCCTACCAGTGACAGGAACAGTAGCCCAGGTCCACAGCCCCACATTGTATGGGGCTACACAGAACCAGAAGATTTCAACTCTGGTCAAATACTGGTTCAAGCAAACAAAAAGAAAAATAGACTGTATCACTGTTTTGTTCAACTTCCATGTTAGAGATAATGATTTCAGCATGCCAGTAGCTTAACTTTCCCTAAATTTTTGTGGGCGCTAAAAGGGAATGGTAAAGTAGTTTTGCAGGTTTAACTGTATCTTTACAATTCTCAGAGCATTCATGTCTTATTCTCAAAAGTGAGATGAAACAGGAGAAATGAAGTGGTTGTTTTGTAATTGAAGTACTAGTCAAGGGAGATCAGCTCTGGAAAGGGACTTTTTTTTCTCCATGGAAATATGCAAACCAGTAATATAAGATAAATCTAATCCTCTGCTAAAACGTGAAGATGAGATTTCAAGTGTCATACCTTTTTCCAAGCTCTGTTTAAAGCTTCACTTTTCCTCTGGTCAAGCTCTTCAATAGTTGCAAGAATTTTTATCTTGTCATTCTCTACAATTCTTTTTTTCCTCATTAAGTCATTGTACTGGTGCAATGAAAAGAAAAGATTTATTTCAATGAGATTTATGCTCAAATACATTTTGTGCTCATGTTACGGTGTCACTGTTTATTGTGTTTGTAACTATGAAATAGCCATTAACCACAAGATTGAAATCCAAAGTATTCATTGACCTGTATGCAGGATTTCAGTTTTAGGATATTACTTGCAAATTAAAGCATTAGAATTTTCAACAATCACCAAAGGAGAAGACCAACATTACTCTGAAAGTTGCCCTCCCTTTTCAAGTTAATAATTCTTCATTTACTTTTCCATAGAAGAAAGGATGCTTCTGGAGGCTGACAGGAAGAACAGGCCAATTCTAATCATGAAAGAGTACTAGAAAAGTTGAAGAGTCAGTCAGTGGACAGTTTTGAGGCAATCTTGGAATAGCCTCAAGACACAGATGAATTCGAGACAACCCTGGAACATCTTAAAGCTTTCATGCTTGAAGATGAACAGGTTTTGGATCTGCAACCTTTAATAACGCATGTAATTCTCAGATCGTGTAGTGGATACCACAAAGCTTGCCTAATGCTGCTGCTGCAAACTTAGGATGGACTGGGGTAGGGAGGAATGAAATTACTCTTTTTACCATGCAAAAATCAAGATTATGCATAACCTAGAAAACTAGTACACAAGTGAATAGTTCAAAAATTTAAGACTAGTATAAAAGATCTAACAAAAGGTTTCTTGCTATCTCATGAAGATTTAGTTTCATTTTTGATGTATTCAGAAATAGAGCATATGAGAATACAAAGCTATTTTTTATGTAACACCATATACCCAATCTGCCCAGTCTTCATAGGTTGAAGCACAGAATGTTTACCCTCTCCTCTGTCTCAGAAAGCATATTCATAGCTCTCATGTTCACATTCCTTTTCAATTTCTCTTTTTTCTCCTGCAATTTCTGCAGCTTCTGATGTGCTTCATCAGGATTGTTAGTTTTGAAGTCATAGGCTGTGTCTGGCTGACCAAAAAGTGATTTCTCTGAAGCTATCCACTCATACTCTTCCAGCATTTTTGTCACCTGCAAACAAGAAGATATGTAGAGGCTTTTTTTTTACCCCTTCTCAAATGTGAATTAAGAAGAAAAAGAAATCAACATCCCGAAATTACTCTACAACATTAATTTTTCTACCCCAACGCAGCACAGGTGTGTACCTTTACAATGCTTCATGTGATTTCCAAGACTGTGGATGAACCAAGATTTTAAGGGAGCTTTCACATACAGCCATCACGTTTACTTGGAACAGGTTTTTCTACATCTGGACTAAGCCATTGTCACCAAATCTCAGGATTAGCTTCTTTAATTAGTTACCTAATTTGTCCACACAGTCAGAATGTTCTTCTCACTGTGATCTACCCTCTATTAGTCCATATCGATAGGCCCTGTTACAATTTACAGTGTACACCCCCTCCTTCTGGGATGAAGCTTTTCACATCAAGAGCTGCAAATATGACAGTGCTTATTAAGAAAAAAAAAGTTATTTCCTTTACAGGTTGCAAGGGAAGTAACCACTCTTGGTCACATGATGTAAAGAAAAACAGTGCTGAAATACCTTGGCAGCAGCATCAGCAGTCTCTTCTTGATGTTTGCTGATGTTGTGTTCTAATGCTTTAATCTTAAGCTGTAATTCATTATTTTCTTCTCTGTACTTTCCTATCTCTGCAGATTTGGCTTTAATTTCATTATCCTGTAACAGAATTACTTCCTTTTTCTTGGCCAGCTCCTTCTGTGATTTTTCTACAGATTCCTGAAAAGCAAATCAAACAGCCATTTATTAGCTTCTTTCAAAGGCTTGTATTAGACGGTTGTTAGAAGGACACAGCAAGGAAGGAGGTAAAAATCCACATGTGGCAACGAAGCCAAAAAATAACTACCTAGGCTAAACGTAATTGAGTGCTGGCAAACAATCCAAACAACAAATACACTTGATAAATTGAGCTTTAGGGGATCATATCTTCAGTAACATCAAAACAGATAATGAAACACAGTATTTACTTTTACCTTTCTCTGAGACATCTCGGCTGCCAACTCATTAACTTGGTTCTGGTAGGATTTCACTGCTTCATCTGCAGCCGCTACCTGTTGTTTATGGAAGGCCAGTTCTTGTCGTAGCTCTTCGAGTTCCAGAAGTGAAGCTTCAAGTTCCTAGAGAGATGTTTTCAAATTTATTATAGTTATGCTTAAGTGGAAAGAATTAAGATGCAGTTTGATATAGTAAATGCTGTAGAAGATTAATAGTACCCATTCTTCAGCAAAGGGGCAATCTCACAGACAAAAAGCATCAGCAATTTCTACATCAGATACTAAGTTCCAAAACTGACAGTATTAAAACTTGAGGAGAATCAGATTTGCCGATTACTGCCACTTTTGACGTTGAGAAAATTGCCAACAACGGTTAAGTTTTACCTGCTGCTTTTCTTTCATATTTTTGCTTGAAGCATCTGCCTTTTTCTTGGCAATATCTAGTTTCTGCTGGGCATTTTTTAGTTCTTTTTCATATTCCGCTTCTGCATTTTTCATCTTTTTCTCCAATAGCTTGTATTTATCTTCTGCTTTCTTTTGGCTCTCTTCAGTTTTCTTTAATGTCTCTTCACACTCCGCTGAATCAAGAAGTACAGTACTGAGACTGGGCATTGTTCTTATCATTAAATTTGCATCCTGAACTCCAACTGAAATAAATCCATCTTTGCCTCTAACATAAAAAAGTGGTTGTATGTTTGCTAGTTACTGAAGTCAGCCACTTCAGTCATTACTCTAAGATGTGCTGCTCTTACCAGTTATTGGTAGGGCACCACATAAGACAACCAGTCATTAAAATTAATTAAAATAAGCCTTTTTTCTTCTTTTGACAGAGGCAAGTCTATGTCAAATCACACGATTGAGAAATAATTAATCAGATGGCTACCTAACAAGATACCACCTCATCCCTAGAATACTACGTCTATTATGTATCACTTCTGTCCATTTTTTATTTAGATGTCTTGCTCATTGCTGCATTTGCTTCATTTTACATTTTTCCTTAGCTATACGAACAGTACTTCTTTCCAATGCCTTCTCGTTACGCAAACTTTATATTGCTAACCTTATATACCTACAGAAACAGATGGCTTGGAAAAAACAAAGATTACTCAATTACGGGAGTAAATCCATTTTAAAACTTCCCTGCAAAGCCATTTTTTCTTTTATTTAAAGTATGTAAAACACTTACTAAGACTATAACCTCTACTACAGGATAATGACCAACCTTATGTGAATCAGCTCTATGCAAATCTACTGTGATTCTATATTTGTTACATATTCCAATATATAAAGCCGGTGCTTTCAAAACAAAGATTTTTTTCTTAAGCAAAGATCAAACAGCCAAACATCCATCTCATTCTCAGCAATTAGTTTTCAGTTAAAAGATTAAGAACACATTTGTCACCAATGGTTTTCTTCAGGGCAAGCAACTCTTCCTCTTGTTTGTGGTAAGCGCTTTGATGAAGCTTTGTCTCTAACAGCTCCGCTTCCTCAGACTTCATCTCCCACTGCTGCTTCAGCTGCCGGTACCTTTGAAGACAGTAATGATACACATTGCTGCAACGAAGGATACCCAGCACTTCAGTTTCAAAGTTGAAATAAGTAGATAAACCAATACTTACATTCCCATTCTAATGTGACATACAATGATGGCTATAGGACAAATAAGCTTGAATACATGAAAGTCTGACATAATTTCTTTAATAGCAGTTATGAAGTTTGTATGCATGTAAGTCACATATGTTACTCTTGGTTATGTAGCCCTCATAAGGTATATCAAAAACAAGCAAATGCAACACATGGAATTTGGCAACAATTCAGAGCTCATGTTTTTCCAACCAGCAGCATGACATATAATAGGCTGAAGCATTAAAGAAAAAAATATCAAAAAGCAAAACTTCTTTCTTCCTTTTGTCGTATTTCCAGAAGTCTGTTACAACTCAAAGCAATCTGAAAAATAAATCCAGCTGGTAGATAGCATATTACACAACATTACCTCCTTCTGGGATTTTTACAGAACTGACTGAACATATTTTTTATGTTCTGTCTTTTAAAAAAGATCTTCAGTAATTGAGTAGCTGAAAATCAAAAATACTTCAAATTATTTAATTAAATTCTTATAGCAGAATCACTCAGATATTCCCCTTTAGTATCTTTATATTTTCTTGGGAGAAAAATAAGAGCTCTCACAAACTGAAATTCTATATTGAATGTTACAAAGTATGGCTGGAACAGATCCATTCTTCAGTGGACTTCATGAATCTCCAGAAAACTTCAAGTGATTGCAAGTAGACATCACCGTATGTCATTACCCAAACCAAAGTTTTCTTGCATGTGTTGCCTAAAAACTAAATTTACTTGTCGATTGCCGTACTTGCAAATTAAATTGGAGTGGGCAGATAGAGGAAAGGAATAAAATTCCTGCGTATTATTACACTTTCATCAAGCCCTATGCCATCCAAAAATACTTCTTTATATTACATTCACTTGGTCACATAAAAGAAACAACAGACATTTTATAGGGCAAACCTTACTTTTCAGCAACATTCTTCAATCTTGCCAGTTCATTCTCTATAGTCTGAAGTTCAGATTCCTTTGTCTTGAGTTCTGCTTCAACGTCTTTCAATTCTTGAAGTTTACACAATATTGGTACAGCCTTTGGAAACGCACCTGTTCAGTGGAAAAAAAAGTCAAGTCAAGCTAACTGGAATTAGACTAGTGGATTCACCAGTGGCAAACAGCAAATTCTAAGTGTTAATAATGATGCAGGTTGATGATTTGTTTTAGTTACAAAACTGAAACGTAGCTAGACTGAAGCTACAGTAGTTCTCTGTGGAGAAAGACTGCCTCCTCTGTGATTGAATTCAATTCTGCAGACTTTGAACACTACGCATGCATTTCTTGTGAAATCAACTAACTTTTCCACAATTTATGAAATCACCCCAAATTAATTATTAATTACTTCAAAAAGTGCTTGAATCCAAGCGTTTCTCCTTCCAAGAGGATTATATAGCCAAATAATATTTAATGATTTAAAATCTAAACTGCTTTATGCGAATAGTGTGCCATTATTTTTTTCTGAGTCTAATCAATCTTATTTCAGCTCAAGACTGAAAGCAAATCTTTGCTCAAACAGATCATATTATCCCCAGTATAAGTCTAAACAAAAAGAGTACCGTTCATTTTTACAAAAAATGGTATAAGCAGGAAACAAATCAACAGACACACAATATTATTATATGAATAAAATCTGCAATTGCCTCCATGCAGAGTGCCCTGGGGGTCAAACGTATCTCCATCAAGCGTAACACTTCTCGTCATTATCCTTTTGTCAAATGTCACTTTCTTAGCATTATCGATGTTATTACAGACCAGTGTTGCTCCGAAGACATATTCCATTGCTTTTTGCAGTTCAGATTCATATGTAATTAGAGAAAGGGCTAAATGCAAATTACCACAACCAGCCTAGAAATCAAATGAAATGCAGTTAGTATGCCTTAAGTTATAAGAATTTTCAAATTCAATTTACGTCTTCTCTTGACCAAAACACCATATAAAACCAATTTCAGTTATAAGCAGAATAATTAATATCCATTTTAAAATTGCAAAGATGAAAGGATACAAAGGAAAAAAATAAAATCAAGAAACCCTCAACCTCTATATAAATTCATATTAGTATAACCATTAAGAAGCCCACACTTTTAGCACAGAAACAACATGAAAAAAGCACACAAGCAAAACAGTGTAAATAGTGTATTTATTTACATACCAAGGCTTTGGCCAACTTGATAGTCTCTTGCCCAACACACCTGGCTGATATTTTGTTCAGTGGAATGATGGAGTATCGACGCTTTAGTTTGCCCTTTTCTAAAAGTTTTTTGCCAGTAACCTCAAACGAAAAGAGTTACAAAGCATACCTGAATACATAACTGATTTTGCAAAGTAAGACAACAGGCCATTGCAAGGGGACTATATTGTTCCAGTAACTATGCACGGCTCTCTTGATCCATTTTAAAACGTACCTGGGTCCAAACCACCTCTTCAGCATTCAGCAATGATGCACATGGTCACTAACCCTGAATCACACGACTTCATCTCAACATTCAGAGTTCTGTATTAAAGTCATAAACATACCTCTGTGTCCACAATAATGTTGTAGAGTTTCCCTCCAGCTGCCGCTTCTAGGGCTTTTGCGTTGGACAGATGTTTCACAGTGATAAAAGACACGACAAGGCCTTTCACCCAGTTTGGATTCCAATCTCTTTCCGGATTTCTTAAAATGAATTTAAATTATGATCATCACATATTTGTTTCTCTCTCACACATCTTGAAAAAAAAATGTATACCTAAAGACTCATACTGCTTATTACATTGGTGTAAGAAGTTTTAAATTCTACTAGGACAAAAGCCATCGAAAACAATTCAATTAAAAACTTTAAGGCAAGCGACTCCCCAAAAGTCAGCTACAAAGTCATTAGAAGAATGTCCTTCTTGATTTTAGTATATTTTTTTTAACATAATTTTCAATTGTTTTTTACTATGGGTCCTATTATTAGCACAGATACAGGAGTATGTTCAGACTGATTATTACATAAGCAGATAAATCTGGAGATACATATATTTGATTGGTGGAGACAGATACAATGTTGACCTCCACAGAGCAAGTCTACTGACAGTCCTCAGGCAGGACTCTGAAAACTGATGTGTACAATTTTCTGCAGTTTAGACCTTTGGATTCTATGGGTTTAGCCATTGAAGTTGAGTTACGGCTTGCAAATGCCATCATACAACACTCCCAAATTCCAGTGACCTTGATAAGGCTGTCATTTAAGAATGACTGTATCACTTCCCCTGCTACCTATTAATTCAGTTAATATTTCCTGACTTCGTCCCCTTCCCTCTCTTCACTTGCATCGCAGGTAAGGTAGCCATTATGAGCATATAGTGACAGGACAAGGGGTAACAGCTTTAAACCGAAAGAGGGGAGATTTACATTAGATATAAGGAAGAAATTATTCATGATGAGGGTGGTGAAACACTGGAACAGGTTGCCCTAAGGAGTTGTAACTGCCCCATCCCTAGAAGTGTTCAAGGCCAGGCTGCATGGGGCTTTGAGCAACCTGGTGTAGTGGAAGGTATCCGGGCCACGGCAGGGGGGTTGGAACTAGATGATCTTTAAGATCCCCTTCAACTCAAACCGTTCCATGATTCTATGATTATTCACTGGCACCACAACGAAAGTGACAGCTGAACAATTGATGGAATTATCCTCTGAGTCTCATAAGCTATGCATAAAATGCCCCCAAAAGCACTTTCAAATGTCTTTTAGGATCACACTGAGATCTTACGTGTATTCAAAGTGTAGCTGAGGAAACTTTGCCATTAAGCCTTCGTACAATTCTCTCAGTCGGCTAATGTCGTGAGTCAAAGTCTTCTTTTTTGCTAGAAGGGCTGCTTCTTTCTCTTCTTAAGAGTTGAACACAAGCCATAGACAAACATCCAGAGTACAGAAATCTGTCAGCTTAAAAACTGCTATGCTAGACTGTTTATCTACATATATGCAGAGAATACTTAATTGAAAAACTTCCTAAAATTATTTGTAAATTTCCAGCTTAGACAAATTAAGACCATCACAATACCAAACATGCAAAGAAAGAGTCAAAAGTCTAACGTGCTTCTCCGAATGTCATTCTGGAATATCAATTTAGTTTTGAGCAGCTTCTGCAACAAACATTACCTGGAATGAGAAATGAACTTTAAGAAGTGTTTTTAGGTAAGGAAAACTAGGAAAGAGTAGGGAGGATGGTAATTTTTTCTATCGAAATTTAATATGCAATTTAAATTTTCCATCAAACTTCAAAACATTTGGCCTAAAGCTTATAAAATCAAATTAAACTATTTTCTGTGGAAGGTAAGAGCTCGCAGAGCTCTGACAAGAGAAATTTCTTTGTGCATGAAAGCAGCATACTTGTGTTTTCAGTTCCTTCTTGTATTGGGTCTGGCTCGGATGGAGTTAACCTTCCCCATAGCAGCCCTCAATAAGGCTTTTTATTTCTAGTAGAAAGGTGTTAACACACCAGTGTTTTGGTTACTGCTGAGCAGCAGTGCTCCCACAGCATGAAGGCTGTCTCTCCAAACCCTGCTCCAAAGGCCAGTAGGCTGGGGGGGGACATAGCCTGGACAGCTGACCTAAGCAATATTCCATACCGTATGAAGGTGTGCTCAGCAATAAAAGCTAAGAGAAAGGAGGAAGGGAGGGGGCATTTGTTATTAAAGCATTCATCTTCCACACCAGCCACTATACATACTAAAGCCCTGGTTCCCAGCAAGTGACTGGACATTGCCTACTGATGGGAAGTGGAGAGTAAATCTTTGTTTTCCTCTGCTTCTGTGTGCAACAAAGCCAGTTCCAGCTGGCTCCAGGATGGTCCCACTGCTGGCCAAGGCTGAGCCCATCAGCAATGTTGGTAGCGCCTCTGGGATAACGTCTTATAGAAGGAGCAAAAACTGCTGCACAACAGCAGCCGAGAGAGGAGTGAGAATATGGGAGATAAACAACTCTGCAAACACCAAAGTCAGTGAAGGAGGCGGGGGAGGTGCTCCACATGCCAGAGCAGAGATTCCCCTGCAGCCCACTGTGAAGACTAACGTGAGGCAGGCTGTGGCCCAGCACCTCTTGGAGGTTAATGGTCGAGCAGACACCCACCTGTAGCCCGTGAAGGACCCCATACCAGAATGGGATGTGACCCAAAGGAAGCTGTGACCCCGTGGAGAGCCCACACTGGAGCAGGCTCCTGGCCTAACTTGTGACCCTGCAGGGGACCTACGCTGGAGCACTCTGTTCCTGAAGGACGGTACCCCTTGGGAGGGACCCACACTGGACAAGTTTGTGAAGCAGACTCCCATGGGTGTGACTCCACATTGGAGCAGGGGAAGAACATGAGGAGGGAGTGACAGGGACAATGTGTGATGAACTGACCGCAACCCCCATTCCCCATCTCCCTGTACTGCTTTGGGGGAGGCAGTAGAGAAAAATCAAGAGTGAAGTTGAGCCCAGAAAGAAGGGAGGGGTGGGAGAAGATGTTTTAAGATTTGTTGCTATTTCTTGTACTCTGATTTGATTGGTAATTAATTAAATTCACTTCCTCAAGCTGAGGATGTTTTGCCCGTGACAGTAACTGGTGAGTGATCTCTCTGTCCTTATGTCGACCCATGTGCATCTTATCATATTTTCTCCCCCAGTTCTGTTGAGGAGGGGGAGTGATAGAGCAGCTTAATGGGCACCTGGCAGTCAGCCAAGGTCAACGCACCACACTTCTATATTCATTTTTAGACTCCCCCAAAATTATGCACCAGGAATCTGTACAGACCTTCATAGTTCAGCTTCTTCATTTGGTCCTCTAGTTTTTCTTTTGTTTTTTTGAGAGCTTTAAGCACTTCGTGGTCTTTCTTGTAGCCTTCATCCATCATTTTAACTTCAGCTTGTTTTGTCTTTAATTCTTTTTGTGCATAATTCAACTTCATTTGAGTCTGTAAGGAGTAAGAAAATATGGAAACAGATCTTCAAAGAGAATCTTGCAGGTGCAGATTTAGAACGCTTGCACTAACAAGGTGTTCCTATAATTTGCTAAAGTTTCCACTGGTTGCAGAAATGCTAAAAAGCTGCCTTGACTTTTGAAAGTAAGGGCACAGGTGATTTGGAAGTAAAAACATAAATCATGTATTTGGATACAGTAACTCATATTACGACATGAATAGAGCCCAAGAAGACACAAGGTAAAATAATGTGGGACACGGCTGTCCTTGTTATCTTCCCCAAAAGAGTCTTGCCTTAAGTGAGACAAGCAACGTGCATTTTCAACTTTGAAAACTTAAATTCCACTGTGAGAACTATCTCAGCAGGTTTCCAATCTTAAGATAAAAGAAGTGGCGTCTGTTTTAGTTACGTGACTAGCATGTGACTGAGGAGAAAACGTTTTCTTCTGAACTCTCCATTCACAATCTCAGGCATCTTTATTTTGATTCCAGTAAGTTTCACTGCAGAAATCTGTACAATATGAATGCGTATCATTGATAGCAGTCTTAATTCCTTCCTATCCAACACCATCAGTCATTTCAGTACAGCAACTCATACTTTATGTCTCAAATGCCAGTTTCTGTACTTCCTCACAGCAACATTATAGCTTTTCCCTATTTGTCTATATCTACGCAAGCATATTTTCATTTTTTTAATGACCTGTTTTATCAAAAAGTCACTTATGCATAAGACAACTTGTAAAATATCTTGCATAGGTATTCTGCAAATCTTTTCACTGACCTTCCACAAGTGTGTAATTTTGTTTTCAGACAATTTTCAAAAGAAGCAGGAAGGCTGGTCTGAGACAGGCAGAGCTTTTATTCTTACCTGTTTAGCCTCTGTGACTGCTTTGCTGATTTCATTTTTGCAGGTCATCATCTGCCCAGCAAGAGTAGCTTCTTCCCCATCGTCATTGCTGGATAAGCCAGCAGACACAGCATTAAAATGCTGTTGTGCTGCAGCTAAAGCATCTGCATCTTTTTCACTTAGTTCCTGTAAAGCATTTAGTTCATTTTCTATCTTCTTTACTTCTTCCTCCTTTAACACTAATGCTTTAGAATCCTTCAGCAAAACAAAGAAAAACAAAAAAAGGAAGAGAGAACCTGAGTCCCATTAACTTTACATTCATGTTGTTTAGATGAGGAGCTGAGTAGTTTCATCAACTACCTTTCTCTGAACCTTTGTCAGATTTTGTGATCTTACAATTTGTCTTTGCGTGTTTTCAAGTGCGCAGTTGCCCCATGATCTACAGAAAGGTGAAACACAGGAAGAGATGACAACTGCCCGAGAACTAAGAGAAACAGCTCTTTTTTTCCAATATCCAAAAAGTAAAAGTATTCTTCAGTGCTCCTCTTGCATAAGGAAAAAAACATCCACTGTCAGAAATACGCAACGTAGAAATTTCTCCTTTAGTTTTAAGAACACCACATGTCCAGACAGCATAATACTTTCAAAGCTATAGGGATCTCTCCTGAGCTTAATAGAAGGTTGGCAACCATAGAGCAGCACTTTCCTTGTATATGCATCACATTTTTCTCTAATAGGAACCTACTACCTGTGCTACACAAATCAAACAACACCCTTACCATTTGTTTCTGCTTTCCCGATGTAATTCTTACCAATGATAGGATTTTTCTTGACAATATCTAAGAAAAAACAGCTGTCCCCTCAATCCAAATTAATTTAGTGTTTAAAGAAGATTATATACAAAGGTCTTACCTCCTCCATGCTTTTTACCAGTTCTTTGTACTTATTCTCTTCACTTTTTAAGTTTTGCTTCTTGAGTTCAAGGGCACTTTGTACTTTAGCATAAACTCTCTGAATTTCTGAAAGCTCACCTTCCAGTGCACAGAGTGTACCACCAACTTCCTATGATCAGAAACAAAGGAAATTTAGTTTAGCATAAGAAACTGATACAGTATTTGTAGTATTTCATCTTCTGTTCACAGCTACATGTGGAAGAGGAGATAAATACTCGATCAAGCAGGCCGTTAGACTCCAATGCAAACAGGTCAGAACATCTGCTCCTTCTGAAATCCAAACTAACTTGAAGCCACTACTGAAGACCCACATCATCCCATATCATGGGATTCTGTCTCTGTACAAAAGCTGCATTTAGGCATCCAAAGACCCTGTGGGCCATCCTGTATCTTACTGCTCCCAAAACTGAGCTGAGTACTGATTTTTGCTGAACAAGTTTCCTATGTGAAGCGTATTTCTTTTGAGACACTGACAAAAAGGGAGAAAAAAGAACCTCTGGCAAAACTTATCATTGAATGCAGAGTGGAAACATGAGGGCAAACAGTTTCTATTCTGTTATTACTCATTTACAAGGACTGAAAGTAAACCATGTCAGACAAATGGAAACTTTAAATGGATGTCTTTTAGACAGTGGCTAAGAATGACAATAAGCACTGTATAATCTAAACCCACCAGAAGATAAAAAATTAAGGGTTTAGTGTCTGTAAAAATAATTCCCTTCTCATATAAGTCCTTGTATTCAGGTATTGATGAGCACAACTCGATTCTCACTTACCTCATCCTTTTTCTTTTTCATTTCTGCTATTTCTTCATTGAGTTGTGTCACCTTCTTTTCACTTTCAGCCATTGATTCTTGAAGATTCTCTACATCAGCCTGCATTTTCTTTAATACTTCACCAGAGGATACCTTTTTCTCTTCAGCCAGAACAAACTGATAAGCTACACAGAAGCGGCTTAAATGTTCTATCGCTCGTACTACTTTTTGGTATTCTAAATAGGATGTTCGTTCCTGAGAAGAGACCAATAAAAACCCCCTCTAAAATCTGATGAAAAAATACTGTTAAGTAGGACTGTTAACAGAAATCTTTTAAGCACTTCTACTAATGTTATTATCTGTACAAATATTATTATCTGTAGATAAGAGGAAAGATTCCACGTGTTAAGTAAAATATTTGATATTGTACATTACAGGCCTGCTTAGGAAAATCTCAGACAGAACAATACTCGTACAATTGACTGTACAGCAGAAAAATCTCGACACGAGTTTTTTAAGAACAGAGATAAGTTTTTATCTCTCTCAAAAGACCTTACAAAGCTTGAGAACATGCTATTGTTTTAGTCACCACATCCTGGTTCAGGTTGATGAAAGTATTTTTTCAGTACTTTAAGGGCCCCACCACTCTTCTAATTTTTCCATACCTCTTTCAGTTTCTGTAAAGTTGGAGTGATCTCCTCATCTAAAACCTGAAATACAAACCAGAACATTTATATCTAGATTTTAAAAACTTTTATATGTGCAAGCATAAACACCTAGTTCCAGGTGCAGAAATGAAATCTGCTACAAGTTAAAAACCACACTATACTAGTTATTCGGTTAACTTTAACAAATATAAAAGTATATTTTCCAACGTGTAGTACCATTTGAATGTCTTTCAGCTTGGCTTCCTTCTTCTCTATGGTTTTCTGGACAGATATTTTCTTGCATTCATACATCCTAGTACCAGCTGCTTCTTCAACCATTGCCAAAATCTAAAATAAAGCAATGTGACAAAAATGTGATGCTGCTTCTTATGTTATAGAGGTTCAACTCAGAACTGAGTTGAATATCTCATTTTCTGCAGATATCTTCTTTTTTTTTTTGTCCCCTACCCCCCAAATATTGACTCTTGTCCTTCAAAACAAATCCATAAAACTTCAGACAAAAAACTTCCACAACTTTCTTACCTCTAGTGGCTTCATATTTAAAACTTTGGTAATTCGTCCCTGGTGATAGAAAGATAAAACAAGAACACTGTTTGTGTACCATGCAATAGTAAAAAAAAAAAAACAAAAAAAAAACCACAAAACGAAACACCAAATCCAAAAAACCTCACTCATTTTTAGATGTCATATTATAAGCTCAAACAAGACTATTTTTTTTTTTGCTACAAAGATAATCTAGTTTGCTCAATTCTTTTGTTCTTGAAAGTTCAAACAAGTCAATTCTTCAGGCAGCAAGCTTGAAATTGACCTTATCTTCGGCTCATCCTCCACTTTCCTGATTACATCTTAAGGGAGTAATGGAAAGGGAGAAGAGCAACTGACATCGTCTACCTGGACTTATCCAAAGCAGTTGATACTGTCCCACACGACATTCTTGTCTCTAAACTGGAAAGACATGGTTTTGATGGATGGACCACTCGGTGGATAAGGAATTGGCTGGATGGTCGCCCTCAAAGAGTTGTGGTCAATGGTTCAATGTCCACGTAGAGGCCAGTGACAAGTGGTGTTCCTCAGGGGTCAGTACTGGGGCCAGTGCTTTAAGATCTTTGTTGGCGACATGGACAGTG